GTTAAGTTTGTTAATGGTAGTGGTATTATTATATGTAATTGTGTTTGTTAATATGTTATAGGTATGATGAAGAATGTTGCAGGAATTCAGTAAAAATTGTTCAAAGCAGAACTGGGGAATTGTCGCCGGGACAGAGAGATTTCTGTGAACAATTGTTAGCTGTGTGTCTAATTATAAGGTTTGAGAACATAATATGTTTATAGAAAGAAAACCTTGAGAAACTGAAGATAATGAAACACCTGCAAATTTAGTAAAACCCTAAAAGCAGATTAATTAGAAAGAGGTTTCTATGCTAAGGATGATTTCAGATCGCGTGGACAGAACATCAGGTCCAATGAACTGGAGACACGAGACGCGTGCACAGACTGAGCTATCTGATCATCTTATTGTGAGCATGTACCCTGAGCAAACTAAACTGTATAAAAGTTAACTGATTTAAATAATAAATTGACATATTGTCGATCCTAAGGGTCTGTGAATAATATGTTCATGCCTCCCCATCGATAACAACAACATCCATGTATTGTGTGACAATACTGTAGGTTTCATATATTAAAACTGAATTAGTTGGAAGTTTTCACTGTGACCAGCAACGAAAAAACGCAGCTTATTTTTCCCATTAATGAAAACATTCCTGAGAAACACACTTTTGAAACTGCAGCCAGATATGCTGCAAGTGCAGAAGTCCACTTAGCAGCTGAAACAACAGAAACAAGAAAGAGTTAGTTTGTGATATAGTGTAGACAAGAGATGACAGAAACTGCTTTCTGCTAGAAGGCTACATGTAACTTATGAGAGTAGCTGCCATGACAATTGCCTTTAGCAGCTGATACAGGAATTCTGTTGTACTCTCCAACAGAAACGTGGTCATACCTCTGCTCCAGATCTCAACCACGGTCAGCTAGGGTTGCAGCCCATGCTTTGAATTCAGCCTGTAAAGAACTGTCATTATCTGAAGAACTGTGACACCCACCACTGCTTAGCACAGTGAGGCAGTATAAGCACACAACACATAAACACAGCACCAAAACATTATGTTTGGTAATAGACAGTTGGTTCTGAGAGTAAATAAAGTGGATAAGGCAGGAGCCAATGACTGGTACAAACAGCCACATATGACATTTTCTGTTTGACATATTGCTCTTAACTAAGCATGCTATCTCAATATGACTAATGTACTTTCTTTTCTTGTCAGAAAAACTATACAGTACTTCTCATTAATTCTAAAAGCTTGAATACAGAACTGGAAACCTTATATACCAGAAAATTGCACTGAAATATCTACAGTGTTCAAACTGTAAACAGCTAGCAGTATTGAGATCTACCTTCCTTTTTGCATTGGATAACAGGTACGAGGGTGGCCTTCCAGGAAGCACATATTGAAAACAAAGACAGGGGCAAAAGAGTGAGAAGAAAAAGTCAGACAGGTAACAATGCCTTTAAGGCAGGGAGGGTCTGGAGGGAGGAAGAAGACAGGAGACACATGAATTTATTTTAGCAGAGATGGCTAAACTTTAACACAAAGAGGGGCAGGTATGACTTCATCATCTAAAACAAGCACAACACTTAATTTGATTTTGCATTTTGAATGACATTCCTCTTGTTTTGCACAAGTGGATTATTCCTGTCTTTTGAACATTAAGGACTCCTATCCTTTTACATGGCAAGGCAAAAACTTTGAAGGAAGTTTCCCAACTCATTGTAGGAGAAATAGTCCCATAAAACTATACAAAATGTTTACAGTCAGAAATGAAGCTTGGTCAGTTTCCTACTAACTAAGTGATTTTTTCTGAAAATAACTAAAGATCTAGCAATGTAGGTTCCACGCAGACAAAAGCTTTTGCTGTTATGGTTCTAAATGATCTGAGATTCCCAAAAATCTCAGAAAACACACCCAAAGGTGATTCACTGTGTTATAATTTGATCAGGTTCTCTTCCGAGTGGGGAGGGAAAGTTGAGGAGAAGAAGGGCGGCAACACAGGAATTTACGTGTTTCTAAAATGTATATAGTAATGGCCAGTCTTCCCGAGCGAAGATTTGGGAAAGGTCATTAACCCTTCGAGCCTGCGCAGTGGATTTTTTAGATGAGACACAGCGTGCACTGAACTGAGCCCCACCCTTTAATCCTGAGGTTCATCTGCCGGGGCCGAGCAAGCTTGGACAGTGGCAGTGAGGGTCTCAGGACGTAGGTTTGTTTAGAGTGACCTTCTCTTAGATGGATTGCCTTACAGGGCTGACGAGCTCCATCTGCCCGGGGGTCCGGGAATCGAACCTGGGTCGCAGCGGTGAGAGTCCTGCACCCTAACCACTAGACCACCAGAGGCCCCTTTAAAATAATTAGCATTTTGAAAAATGGTCAATAGTTTTGGTCTGCCTGTGTATACTGTGTATCAGCTGTGTATGCTGATAATCCCACTACAGACACAGTATTTACTGATGATTTAGATTAAATGAGCTAAGTAACTCTTCAAAGGAATATGACTTCTCCAAACCATTCACAGCTCATTACTTATTCCAGGAAAACCAAAGAACGGTAAAAAATAGGCTATGATGTCCTATTTGAAGAACAGGAATTGAATTAGCAAAGGCTGTCAAGTAAGAATAAATTTGGCTTTTAATGTGCAAAAGGGATTCTGATAAGCAAGGTTGCAGATTTGCACAATGTAGATATATATAAATATAAATACACTGACTTAGGGGGCCCCCTGGTGGTCTAGTGGTTAGGATGCGGNTCAAGATTCCCTCTCCTTCACCTCCCTCCATTTTCACCTTACTTAGCAAATTACCTCATTTTCCTTGAAGTCTCTGTAGGTATATTAATATAATATAAAGAGACTTGACTGGGCAGGTAGGTGGCAAGCAGCCAAATCTGTTTATTTCAAAGTCCCCCATATAACCCCTGAGGAGGACATGTGACCGCCTGACCAATGACAGCACACACTGCCCATCTGCCTCTGTAGGCTGCCACGACCCGCGGGAAAAGGAATAGGATCAGGCACTGCAAATCAGGGTCCTGACACAGTACAAGTCTCGGGAAGTAATGCCAGTCTTTATTAGGGAAACAGTAACTTTTATAGGATAGGTCCAGGGGTGGAGTCTGGGCTAGGGAGGAGCATAAGATTGGCAACTCAGGGATGAAGGTAATTGGGTAACTGGGAAAGGAGGGGAGGAGTTTGGGTGTAGCTGGGGAAATGGGCCAATGGTAGCTGCCTCTGCACTGCACCAAACATCAGCCAATGGCAGGCAGAGGAGCGGGAAAACAGGGTTAAGGCGGGAAAACTGTGAGGGGAGGAAGGAGACAATATGGTGGGTAGGATTTTAAAACAACAACTGGGGGTATACACAACCACATAACAATATAACAATAAACCGGGGAAACTGGGGTAAAGCTGTCAAATCCAGGGAATGTCATATCCGGTATAAGAATGTCCAGTCCGGTATAAAAATGTCCATTTATGGATTATAAATCTTTCTCCATGCTTCATATCTTTGCCACTCAGTCTCATCTTCTCCAACAGTAGGCTGTCTAGGAACTCCAACTCCCATGATGCACCCCTTGCATCCCTGGGACACTTCCTACAGTCTCGAAGGTGCTTCTCAGTTTTGGGATGGAGTAGTAAGGGAATACTGACGGTCTCTTACAGCAATTCTCAATGGTCTAACAGACATTGTTCAGAGAAAGAAACGGCTCTGAAGAAAAATACTGACAGGCCAATTGAAAAAATGGCCACCAATTTTACATTCTTTGCCAGCACATCAACACTGTGCAGACTGCTCCTCTCATTTATCCTGTTATCCCTGCCAGAATTTTAATTCTTCTAATTTCACAGGAAAACAACCTAGCCCAACTCAACCAACCAAAGGACAAAAAACAAACAAAAAAACCAAAACAAAAAGCACAAACAAAACTCAAAAACAACCAAACAAAAACAAACAGACAAAAAACAAACAAGAGAGGAGAAAAGGGCGGCCAGTAAAAAGAACATAAACCCTAATCAAATAGTTTCTGATACTCTATAGACTCATCAAGATGTATATTTTTCTTTTGAAGTGACTGGACAGCTTCCACCACAGTTTAAGTGAAAACCTGTCGCTGGGTATCTGTCGAAGGGGTCCTGGTCCAAGGGGGGAAGAAGACACACAACACACACGAGGATGGTGAGACAAAGGGATGTCTGCCTGCTCAGCGCAGCAGACAGCTTTTTTATTCAGTTCTCCCACCTCTACTTTCCCATACACAACACAAACATATTCTTACAACAACATCCAGGAATGCGGCACCTGAGCTCAGCCACACAGCTCAAGGCTGTGTCCATGGGAACTATCTAATAGCTCCACTGCTCTCATGGGAAATGGCCTAACACTCTGCAACACTCCAAACCCTTCAAACTTCATTTGTGGGGCTGTGACTTCACCCCACAATAACCTTAATATATTTGTATACATTTTTAAAAACAGAAAGTAAAAAAAAAGAGGAATCAAAATTAAGACCAACATTAAATACACTATACAACAGGTTTGCAGTATTTGACTACTCTGTGAAAAGGTTGATGAGTAATCAGAAGTGTTAATGAATAAGTTTGCCTGCAGGTTCAAAACTATTAGTAATTATTAACACTAACATGACAAAAAATTGAATCACCATATGTTATAATAATTTTGTTAATAAAATATTTTAAAATACTTCTTTTTATTTATTTTTAAAAATATACAGGTCTTTTAATCTCATGTTCGCATAAAATTGGGGTTTTTTTCCCTCCACACCTGAATATTTAGGAGAAAATCTTTCATTGCTCTACACTCCAGATTCTTGCACATTGAATATATATTTGAGTTTTCGGATTGGCAGAGTCAGAAGGGAATGTATTTAAACAATAATTCTTTATTTAAATTTACTCAACTGATTTCCTCCAAGAAAAGACTGAGAGTCTCCTACATCTTCCTTTTAAAAATCAGGTAAGTACTTGAAAAAGTATAATAATGAGACTTTTTTTTGTTGTTATATGTTTCCTGACAAATTTTGGCACTCTGGATTACCAGTCCAGAACACATGGGATTTTGTAGAATGAAAATGATGCATGAGTGTTTTAAATCAAGACAGAAATATTCGAAAGTTTATTTCAATATTATCATCATAAGAAACAAACTGTTGGTTTTGCTCTGACAAGTCATCTCCTCTCAGTTTTCCATTATAATTCCTGATAAAAGACACACCATTTAACTTTAAAATTTAACTTCCAATAGTCCCCCAGGGGAAATGTAACTTAAATGCTTCCTAATACACAGTCTGCAAGTTTACACGTGTTATTTATTCAAACGTTTCTTCAATTGTTCTAGATGCCTTGTATCAGCATCCTGGAGGACTAACACAGTACTTTTAGACTCAAATGGATCAAACTCAATAGTCATCAAACAACAGAGGTCTATCAGTTGTTTTTGACATTTCTTTAAACCACCCCTAAGCTTTAGACGTAAAGCTGGATCCTTTTTCAGCCTATTCATTTCAGCCACCGAAAAGCCAATCAAGCTTGTTAGAATATCATCAGCAAAATCTACTTCAAGATAAGCAGAACCATCAGAAATTTTTGCCTTTATACCCCAGGACCCATTGCTGTTTGTGAGGTTTCCAGTGAGAGTAACAATAAAACACTTAACTTTCAGAATTGTAACAGTTTCTGGTTTTTTTGCAAGGAGAAGAGAAATATATGTGAAAGGTGAAGAATTCAAATCTAAATGTGGCTCTACTGCTCTGCAAGGAAAGGTCTGTGAATCATGCTTCTGCTGAACTGCTTCTGGATCTGTTTTTGAGAAAAATACAGGATCACCATTTAACACACTGCGGTCGGAAGTCTGCTGGGATTTACATCTCCTTTCATCTAAGTCTGTATCATTCTGCCCTTCTTCAGGAGGATTTTCCAAAGAAAAATCTGAAGAACTGCAGGTCTGATGTACGCTTCTGAGCTGCAAAAAGCTATTCATGCTATTTCCACCTTCATCACATATTGTTTTTCCAAAATTCTTTTCCTTGCTGATAGCTTCCATAGGTTTATCTCTTTCATTCACATCACTTTTTTCACATATGCCATTTAAAGACAAATTGCATGATCTTCTAGGTGTATGTGGAAGTCTTTCAGTAATTAAACCTGTGTTTCTGTTCATGACCACTGGTGTCACTTCATCCAGCTCTATTTGCATCTCTTCTTCCAGAAGAAAGTCATCTTCTAAAGGAAAGTCATTTAAAAAGCCATCAGCATATTCTATGGGAGGTGAAACTTGTTCAACTGAATGAGGAAAAGGGTTTCCAGATTTCTCTATCAAAACATTTTCATTGTGTACAGTCAGTGAACCTGAGGCTGTACTAAAATTGTTGCTTTTGCTGCAATATCCACTTTCTAAAGATGTTCCATTGTTTAAAGTAAATTCATTATTTTCATCAAGACCGGCTAAAAGCTCTTCATCTGAAGGGCCAAGAGATTGTTCTGATTCATCCACAGGCCTGGAAAAAATCTGTTCACGACCAGCTTGTCCAACAGAATTACAGTTTTCAGTTTCTCCAATTAATCTAGCAAGGACTCTTTCCTGAGAATAATCCTCAAGAAGAGCATCCACTTCACCCCCCAACAGTTTCACATTTTCTGGTTTAAGCAGAAGGACTCCAAGACGATATGCAGTATTACCCTGTACAGTGATTTTTGTTCCAGGAGGAAGATTACTGCACAGGACAGGCACTGGTTGATACTCCATGCCCTGAATTTGATGTATTCCATCAGTTAGTTGTAGCATCAGCATTCGAGTAGGCTTTGCTTCCCAGGGCTTCTGAAATGCCTGAGTACTGGCTGTTACTTCTTCATTTACGGTGCTTTTCCCTCTTAGCTTCTGCAACTGAGAATATGCTGGCTGGCTAACATCAACCAGTGAATCAATCTGTATGGAGTAGAAGCCTGACAACTCTCCTTTGGGAGCATTCAAGATGCAGTCAGGCAAAATGGGATATTCCAAGTCTCTTAGATCGGTAAGAAGCCATTGCTCAAATACTTGCTTGTTAATCTGAGCTTGACTTAAATTACTACCACTATTTTCCTCCTGGATCCAATTAATACATGCTTCCAGCCATGTCAAAGGAACTTTAATATGCCATGTGGACGAAAGCCAGGTTTCCACTCTTGCTGCAATGTTAGATGTAGACATTTTCTTTTATAGTAATAGTGAATTCCCTAAAACGGAATCCAAAAAGACATATTTACTCTTCTGACAAAAGCTGAAATTATGACAAGTCTCATGCTCATGTTATATAGAAATTTTAAATTAAAAACATTCTACAGACACTAAAACTTACATGCATTTCCAATATTTAATACTTCAATCAGCTTAAAAATTATGCGCAATTAGCTGGAAGTGTGTACAAAATATCAGGGAAGGACGGAGATTTATATAAGCAACCGTGCTTAGTGACTTCTTTTCTGTTGATTTAATTAGAAACATACAACTGAAATTGATTTCTTGGGGATGGAAAGTGGATAAAAAACCCAAACCAAAAGAAAGTAAGTTGTTTAATATATATTCTGTATTTCTTACTGCTTCAACTCTGTGGGTGTTGCTGTTAACACTCAGTTTACTTTAGAAATTGACCTGAGATGTTATTCTCCCACTTCACCAGCACTGTTATGAACAGAAGTTAGAGACACTACAGAACCAAGCTGGGGTTTATTAGCACTTGTATAGAGGGGTGACTTTCAGTCTGCAACTGGATGAAAGCTTTTACCCTACAACAGAAAGCTAGCTTGAAGCATTGTTATCCAGAGATTCCATCCAGGGTTTGGCTGCAACACTACCAAGTCTTGGCAACTATCATATTAGAGACATAAGTGGCTAATAAGCTCTAGCTTTATGTTAGTTCAGGAAGTAGCTAAGAACAAACAGAAGTATTTCAGTTGGAAGGGACTTAGAACAATCATCTAGTCCAATGACCTGATCAATTCAGGGCTGATCAAAAGTTAAAACACATTATTAAGGCTGTTGTCCACATGCATCTTAAACACTGATAGGTTTGGGGCATCAGCTACCTCTCCAGGAAGCCTGTTCCTATATTTGAGAACCCTCTTGCAGTCATAGAATCATTCAGGTTGGAAAAGACCTCCAAGATCGTTATGTCTTACCCTTGACCGAACACCATCACGTCAACTAGATCACAGTACTAAGTGCCACATCCAGTCATTTCTTGAACACTCCTAGGGATGGTGATGCCATCACCTCCCTGGGCAGCCTGTTCCAGTGTTTAAATACCCTTACAGTGAAAAAATTCTTCCTGATGTCCAACCTGAACCTCCCTTGGTACAGCTTGAGGCTGTGTCCTCAAAGAGACTGATCCCCACCTTGCTACAACCTCCTTTCAGGTAGTTGCGGAGAGCAATAAGGTCTCCCCTTGGCCTCCTTTTCTCCAGCCCTGCTCCCTCAGCCGCTTCTTGCATGATTTACTCTCTGGACCTTTCACCAACTTCTTTGCCCTTGGTAAAGAAATTATGCCTACTATCAAGTCTGAACCTCCCCTGATGTTTGAAACATTCCCAGGTGTCCTGTCACCGATTCCCAGGAAAAGACCAGCATCTCCCTCTCCACATCCCTCCTCAGGAAGCTGTACAGAGCAATGAGGTCACCTTTCAGCCCCTTCTCTCCAAACTACACAACCCTGTGCCCTCCTGTGGACCATTCAAGGACCTTCACGTCCTTCTCAAACTGTGGGGCCCAGCGCTGCACACAGGACTCAGGGTGAGGCCACACCACGGCTGAGTACAGCAGGATGATCCGCTTTTGGCAGCTGCTGATGCTGTGCCTGATGCACCCCAGGATGGGGTTTGCCCTCCTGGCTGCCCGGGCACACTGCTGACTCACACGGAGCTGCTGCCCACCAGCACCCCCAGATCCCTCTGTAGGGTGTAGTGGCTGCTCTCCAGATACTCCTCTCCCAGTTTATACTTGTGTCCAGCGGTACTCCATCCCAGGGGCAGAATCTGGTATTTGTTCTTGTTGAATTTAGTGCCATTGACAATTGCCCAGTGCTCCAATCTACGCAGATGCCTCTGCAAAGCTCTTGTCCCTCGAAAGAGTCAACAGGGTCTTCCAATTTGGTATCAACAGCGCACCTGCAGTGCATTTAACTCCTGCATCCAGATCACTGATACAAACATTAAAAAGATATAAGGCTGCCTAACTGTGCCTGGATCATGTTCAATCTCTTAGAAAGGGCGATCGAGGAGCTCAGCAGACCACACAGAAAACAAGCAGTATCTTAAGAATATTTAAGGAGCACCAGGTTTGGTTGGTTTTTTGCACAAGCTTTCAGCAGGTGACGGAGGGAGGGAGGGAGAGGAGCAGAGGCGGGAGGAGGTGGCGGGGTCGCCCCCCACAGCCCCCGGCGCAGAGCCCCCAACTCACCGTTCCCGGGGCCCCCTGGACGCCTGCGCGCCACACAAACGCCGCGCGCACTGACAGCCAATGGGAGGAGGGCATCCAATCATCGCGAGAGTTTCGCTGTCGCCGGCGCGCACAAGGCGGGGTTTTGGCAGCCGCCATTTTCTGGCTCTCCGGCAGTCACCGCTGTCGTTCTCCTCGTTCGCCCTCCGCTGCCCGTGCCGCTGACAGCGCGGCTCCCGTCGCTCAGGTAGGAGAGCCTGGTCGGCCGCGGCGCGGGTCTGACGGCGCCGCCTTCCCCGGGCTCGTCTCGCCCTGTCCCTCACGGAGGGCGGGGCGGGGCGGGGCGCCGCCCCCCCGCGCTGACAGGCAGCGGCCTCATCCAATGGGGCGGCGGCGGCGCCGCTCGGGAAGGGCGGCGGAGCCAATCGGAGGTGGTGTGCGCGTCGGCGGTCGCGGTAGCTCTCTTTTTCTCTGCCGTCCGCGGAGAGGCCGGCGGCCGGCGCAGGTATGCGCACCCGCGGCGCAGTGTGGCCGAGGCTGGCGAGGAGGAAGAGAGGGCGGGAGGAGGGTGCAGGCCAATCCGGGCCTCTCCTAGGCCGTCAGAGCTGCCGCCGGGTCCCGCTCGGCGCCGCTGCGTGACACAGCGTGCGGGAGGGCCTGAGGCCGCTGTCGCGGGCCTCAGCCCCCGGGGCTGCCGCGGTCTCGGGGCTCCCGTGAGCTCCAAAGGGGATGGCGGTGCAGCGGGGTGGGGTCTGCGTGGAAGAGTGCGGGGTGTCGCCATCTCGACATGATTCCCTCGTGCCCCGCGGGGACAGCGGGCAGCTCGGCCGTGGGCGCTGCCGCCCGGCCGTGGGCGCTGCCGCCCGGCCAGCGCGGGTTCCGCAGCGCCAGCGGGTGCGCTTCAAGGGCGGGGGAGCGGCCGCCGCCTTCCCGTGCCCGCCCCTGCTGCGTCTGTGCCCGGGGCGAGCTACTGTGGCGGATTATGGCGGGCGCAGGGAGGGCGCTCCGGGCCGTGTATAGCCGCGGGGGCCCATTAGAGGCCACCCCGCGTGGCGGCCGCGCCGCTGTCGGGGGCGGGCGGAGCTCCCGCGCTGGCGGGGCTACCCTGCTCCGTCGTGCCTCGGGCCGCCGGACGCCTCCTTTGTGTCCGCCCGGGTAGAACCGGCTAACTCTCCCCGCGGCCGCGTGGTGGTGGCGGCGACCCTTCCGCTGCCGGCTCCGCCTCGCCGTGGCCGGGCGGGCGGGCGCCATTTCGGAGGGCGCCATTTCTGCTGCTTCGCGGGTGCTCTGTGGCGCCGCTGCTCCCGCCGCGCTCCCTGCTGCGCCGGGCGGGCGGCTGGAGGCGCAGGGAAAGGGAGGGAAGACGGAGGCAGGCAGGCAGGCAGGCATGTGGCAAGAGTCGCTGCGTCCTGGAGGGCGCGGGACTGAGCCGCGCTGGCGTTTCCCAGCTCTTAGTCTGTGGTCGGTGGTCCCGCTTCTCGTGGCCGCTTTAGCCTTTCAGTGTTTTTAAGAAACTCGACTCAATTAGTGATTTTAACGTCCTCGATTTACCCAGTTGAGCGAGGCTGGAGAGCACCTGACGTATAGGCAGGTTTGACTAGGGGAGACTGAGCCGTGAATTGTAACTGTAACTGATATTACAGTTCGCCCCCTGCAGCCCTGAAATTCTTGGGATAGTTGGAAATAGATTAACCAGGGTCCGAGAAGACTATTACACCGTAACTGGTCGTTCCCTACTCTTCGTACGCGTAGCAGCACAGATTTTGGCAATGTATGCCTGAGATGCCGGTATCGTTAACTGTGCGTGCCCTAACGTTTCAATTGCCTGGGAAGGCGATGCATGCTGTTAGCTCCTACAGGCGGGGCAGCAGTTACACAGCTGTCTGAGAGTGTGTTTATAAAGTTACAATCACGTTTTGGTTTTGTTTTTTTCTGTTGGTACAACAGTGAGTGACTGCCACTTGTTGCGGCAGTTGAAATTAGTGCAATATGAAGGGAAACATATGATGATTTTGCTGCATTGCCTGTAAATCACATTTCTTAAGATAATAAGTTGCAAAATTATTTATTTTGTCTGCACTTCTCTCTAATGTGATTTATTAGCATTCCAAGATAAACTTAAAAATAGCAGATTGCAATCTATTTAAGAAAATCATAGTGAGATTCAGTTGCTTTTGGAGTTCTTGTGTGTGCACAGAGGATTATATGACGATTATACGCAGAGGATGGTATTTCTAAAAAGAGATTTTTTTAGCGTAGCTAGAAGTTGTAGTTTGTATTTTGTTCATCAGTTATACTTGATTGGCAGGCATGCTGAAATGCTTGCTAGTATGTTGGTAGAAAATTTGTAAAAGTAATCCTGACAATTACCGTAATAGGGGTTTATTTTCAAGTTTAAATTGTGTATACCTGAACAACAGGAGCAGATTCTTATGTAGTGTCCTTTTATGAAGTGAAACCAAGGCACATGTATCATATAACATGTTAAAAATAAGAGCTGAATGCAGTTCACTTTAAATTTCTCAAAATAATTTTTTGGTAACTGTGTTACTTAAAACTATCGTGTGCCCAAAAACTGTAATTCAGACAGTAAGAGTTTATGTAAGTCTACAGACTTGACTTTTATCTCCTCTTAGTGGTGTGTTAATCTTGGGTATGCTTTTTCTTTTAGAAAGAAAAGATTTGTGACAGCATAAGTCAAATCTCTGTGTTTTGGTTGTAGTGAGAATCAGAGCTGTTAAGTGAGGAGACTCGCAACTGATATATGCTGTTTTCATAGGCTCTTGAAGCAATAGGCTGTTGGATTTTGATCCCGCCCAGAATACCTGAGATTTTCTCTGCAAGGATATATAATAGTGGTAAGTTCTAGCAGCAGGCATTTATTTTTGTTACTGTTTTTGCTTTAGTATGATGTACAGTTTGCCTTTTGACAGACTAGATGTACCATCTTTTTTATTTTTCAACAGGTTTTGCTTGCCCACATAAGAAAAAAAGGCAATGGAGACTGAACAACAGGAAGAGACCTTTACCAACACGGAGACAAATGGTAAATGTTTTAGAGGACTATTTCTTTTTAGAAAGAACCTCTTTAAAATATTTCTAATAATGTTGTAATGATTTAACTTTACCATGTATTTGTATCAGCAGTAGTTTTGCATTCTGTATTAAATACTTTTGGTCTTAATTAGACTGTGGCGTTACATATTTTTTGAAGCATAAAGACATAATCTTTCTGTTGGCATCTTCTAGACATGAGATAAGTAACTGAAAGTTTTGACTAAGGGTTAAAAAGTATTTCAAAGCTGTGTGGAGAATGTGAACATGTAAGAATATCCACTGTATCCATTTTTTTGTTTATTGCAGTTGTTACATGCAGGAATACCAATATGAGAAATACTTGAAAGCGCTTCATGCATAATTTCTTGGGAATAATTACCAAGGAAGCTAGGACATCACTGTTGCTGATTTGTGCCAGTTTTTCCCAAACAGTATCTGAAGTGCTACTTTACTACTATTCCACCAGTATTTTAGTGTTGGACAAACTACATTGTAGCTTTATACCTGAAAGGTTTTCCCCAATTATAAATTATAATCATATATTGTAAATTATAAATAAATATGAAGTAGGTGATACTTCACTGCTTTTAAAAAACATGTCATGAACTTCTCAACAACATTCTCATTTAAGCCGAAGTTCATAGATCTTTTAAATGCATTTTTAGTAATTAGCCAGTAAGAAAGCTGATGAAGTAAAGACTTGTTTCCATGCTATGGATGCTCAGAACAGGCTTTTGTAATTGGTTTTGGACCAGTATGAAAGAATGTATTAGTAGTACAGAGCATGAATTTGGCATGTATTCCATTTTATTGCAACTTAGAAAGTTAAATAAGTGTTTATGTTTCCCCCCTATGGACCTCTCTACAGGCAAACGTCCTGCAGAAGATATGGAGGAAGAGCAGGCCTTCAAAAGATCTCGAAACACAGATGAAATGGTGGAACTGCGCATCTTGCTGCAGAGCAAAGTACGCTTTCTTGTTGTTACCATTTTTGTATGTAGCATTGTTCAAGATGATGACAGAGTGTATGTTGAGATAGAAGTTCAGAAAGCATATATGCTTTATTTAAAATGAGATAACTTATTAGAATAACTTTCAGTGTGTATGAGTGGTAGTTGCAAGAGTATTGCAATGGAATTGTTTAGAGGGGTTCTTTTAAAAAGGTAAGTCCTGAAGGATCAATATGGGGTTTTTTTAAGGATTTATTTGCTGAAGAAATAGAGCGACAGAAATCATAAGGTCTGCATTTGAGTAGAATATTGTTATTTTGAGGGAAATGACTGTCTGTGAGTCTTTGGAAGAGAAGCTGTTTAGGGAATTTTGAGCTAATGATTTTAAATTAAATATGACATATGAAAATGTATGATTTTAGTAACCTTCCTGAACAGATCTACTGAACTTGTTCAACTGTGTCAACAGGAAGAAATGTGGGAGTAATACTTCAGGGTTTGCAGGGATTTTGTTGACAAGTGTAAATAGTTAAATGTTGCTATATATGAGTTTCCTCTGTTGTTTGCACTTGCTCCAGGATCACTTGTTGTTTCTGAAGTATCTCAGTCTTTGGTGTTGGCATGAAAGAATGTTGCCTTAACTCCATGTGCCATTTCTGACTAATAATTGATTTACATGGAGTACCGTGAAATGTTTTGCATGCTTTTAGCATGCAATATTTTGTATGTAATCCTTGAGAGAACCTGGTAAAAATTTAGTTTTGCAATTACTGTTCCTCACTATGTGCCAGTTTATTCCTGATAGCTTGAATGAAGTAGGTGGCTGTTAACATTCACTTTAACCTTTTTCAGAATATATTGCTCTGAGAAATTAATTACATTACAGAGGCATAAACCAAAATTAGCCCTTGGAATTATCAAATATTGGGAGCACAAAAGTGAAATTTGCAAAGGTACTTCTTAAAAGAGAAAAAATACAAAATTATCAATTAAATCAAGCAAATCATTGACCTATATTACATTCATACGTTATTTTTTGCAAGGGATACAGTCTATGAGATAAGTTTAGCATGAGCAGAATTGCCTAGAAACTTCGTTTGGAATTGAAATATTAGTGGCAAAACTGAGTATTTTTTTCTCTGCTGTTTGGTGGTAGTAAGAGCTTTTAGTCATTATTTTTTTTAAGATGGATAAACTGTATCCGTTTGTTTCAATTTGATTTGAACCTTTCTAAAGGAGTGCTTGCCTGCCCTGATGTCTTGGGCCAGCAGGGTAATGCAAAAATAGATTTACCCTTTTCAGTCTTGAGTTCAAAAATGTAATCTGTGCTGTGCTGTCATAACTTAATTTCTTGAAAACTATTTTCCAGAATGCTGGAGCTGTGATTGGAAAAGGTGGCAAAAATATTAAAGCACTTCGTACAGATGTGAGTATATATGAGTTTGAACTAATTTAACACCAGTTCTTTCAGAGCACTACATCGAAAGCTTGATTGCGTGCATTTCTAGAAATGGGAGCAATTCAACTCTGTAGGCATCAATAGTCAAGTTACAAACCATTTGTATTGAGTGTTAGAGTAGATAACTTAGTTCTTCAATTTCTATTGCAATTAAAACCCAGCCTGACTCGTGGGATGAGAGGTTTATATTAAATCTCTTCACTTTTTAATAGAATTCTGCTGAATTACACGCTTCAAGCAAGTTAACATCCTAATTAAAAATGTTGACAAAACTTAAACCCCTTAGTAGTACCATTTCCCATACGTGTGAATCAATTATAGTACTGCTGAAACCATTGCAGGTGGCTGGCTTAACCCAGTGATAGAGGACTTGTCTAACTTCCTTAAAAAGAGCAATATGACATCATCCATCTGTTCCTTAACAGCTTGCACATGACGAACAAAAACATTAAGGTTTCTTTCTTTAAATATGGGTATAAAACACTAAGGGAAAATTCTGTTCTGTTACTTGGAAGCATTTTTAAATGGTCATGACTTACTGCCCGTTCACACTTTACAGTGGGTTAACTCCTGTGATTAGGCACATGCTGAGCATTAACGTTGTGTATTTATAAAACTTGGCAACTCTTCTTAAATTCCATTTGTACCTCCTGTTCTTAACATCAGCTGCAATTTCAACAATTTTTCCTATCAAGACTCTGTTCAACGTAAGATTTGGCAACTTATTACAAATCAGTTTCAACTAAGTTCAGCAACTACCGCAACTGAATTGAGGTTTTAGTTGAAATGGTCAGGAATCAGACATATACCCACTAACTTTGGCAGATAGTTGTTCTTTTTTCTTCTCTTTTAGGGTTTTTTATCGTTTTTTTTCTTTCTTTCCTTTTTTTTTTTTTCTCTTGGAGTAAATCAGTGTGTCACCTAAGTCCAGATAATTTAGATTGGTCTGGAATACAAACTTTCCCGACTTGCCCAAGGTTCTAGTACTATCAGTCTCGACAGATTTTGTGTCTACCCTCATGAGCCAGCCTGCTACTGAAACGTCATTTGTTAAAAGTAAAAAGTAGTTTAGTCAGGTCAAGTGACTCATTTTTAAGGTCCATACTGTTAAGCCACAGTCGGTGTAGCAATCCGTTATTGTGTTAGCCTTCAGAACAACTTAAGCTTGTTTCATTAATTGAGAGTAATGAGTATAGTTTGTATTAAATTAAAATTTATTGCTTTTCCCCCTTTTCCCTCTCCTTGTTTTTTTGGCCATATATCTCCGTTGCCCATGTACTGGATCGACTTGCCCCTGCGTTGCCCACCATGACGTTGGCCCATCCGCCCCTGAACGCCCATGTGAAAACCCTGGTTGGCTATGCCCAAAAATGTGCTCGTTGCCAAACGGGTACCATACTTGACAACTTCTGATTGAATACCCATGCCCAATGCCAACATCCACGAACGCCAATGACCAATGCAGTACAATGCCAGTGTTTCAGTCCCAGACAGCAGTGGCCCCGAGCGGTATGTCCCAACAGTTTATGCCTCACTGCCTGATTAGAAAGAGAGAAATGTATTTTATTACCTGCCTTTGATATAATTAAATAGTATCCCCTTATAGACGGTGTATTGTTTTTTTTCAAGTTTTCTGTCTTATTTTCCCCATTAAGTCTTTTTGTCACTGAACTTTTACGTGAGTTGCCCACCCAAACAATCCACTAATTTTATTTCAATGGAAGGAGCACAGCTTCAAGTGTTGCATATTTGCTGCATTGTAAATCAAATTGGTTCAAAATAGTCTTTCGCTCTGTCTTTGTGCCCACCTTGCTCCCTTCAACATTGCCTGTTCATAATTATTTCTGATGAAATGCTAATTCCGGTTCGCTTTCCTTCACTTCTCATTTGTTTTGTCTTTTTTGTCTTGCATTCGTATTTGTTTTCTTGGAGAGCCCATTAGAAATCTGATTTCATAACCTTATTCCAGATACAACGTTCACCACTTGGATATCCTCCCTTTTAATATGAGAAGGTGTGCCAGCGTAATGTGATAGTGAGGGTATCCTAATAGTGGTGGTGGGGAACATGAATATTCACTTCTACTTTCAGTTCTGCATCAATTTCTTGCCCACTTAATCTGAGCCCTTCCAAAAGCCCATTCTGTCTTTCTCTCTCTGCAAGACCTACCTAATCTTAAATTTCTCATGCATATATACTGGGCATAAACAAAGATGCATGTGTTATAAATTGAGCAAACAGGTTTACTTAAAACGGGGAATCTTAATTGTAAACTCTTCTTTGTAGTGTATCTTGTTAAAATTTTGTCTGTGATGATTTAAAAAATTTACTTCTACTTTTTCTTTTCTACCTACTCCATCTTGTCTGGCATTGTGGCTTTCAACAGCATTTTGAGTATAAGTGCAGATATAGAGACAATTGGAGAAATCTTGAAGAAGATTATCCCTACTTTAGAAGAGGTATGTCTCTTAATATTTTGTTTTAAAGGTAAAAGATTAGCTTTTGAACAAGATGGTTCTGAATGACTTTCTGCTTTTTACATACAGGAAATTAAAAAAATAAATGCCAGAGGCCTTTTAAGGAAGGGTTATGGCTCTTACACTACATGTTGACATTTTTTTGGTGGAGGACAATCTGTCACTGTTTATTAAATTAACATTTTGAACAGCCTTCCCCCTTTCAAAATATTAAGTGTTGCACTGTTCAGTACCTTGTTAAGTTTTTGTTGCAAGTTGTGCAGTATAAGGTAATAAATAATGTAATAAGTAATGTAATAAATAAGGAAAACTGATACTTCACCTAGAGGGGTGGTGCGTAAGTAGTTGTGATCTTATCAAAGGAAATGCAGGTTTACAATTCAGCAATAAGTCATACCATTGTTTGAAGAAAAAAAACTTAAAATGCCAAGTATTTAAAACTTATTTTTATTTTGTTTTTTTCTCTATATGCGTCTTTCATACAGTATCAACACTACAAAGGCAGCGACTTTGACTGTGAATTAAGACTTCTCATTCACCAGAGTTTGGCAGGAGGAATTATTGGTGTCAAGGGTGCTAAAATTAAAGAACTCAGAGAGGTACTTGCTTCCTGCTCTTAGATTTGTCTTTTGTTTAATCATGTTTTCTGTTCATAAGAGGCCAGTGTAAGTGTCTTCTGTGCGGTAATTCCTACTGAACATACTGTGTACATGCTTCTGATGTTCTGAGATGGAGCTCTACGTTGCAACTTCCTTGCAGACCTTCAGAAGGAGTAGTGGTGACAGAGCCTAGGACTTGATTATACAATATATGTGGTAGAATACTGTTTTTAAAGGGAGGATTTTTACTCTGTTTTATTAAAATTTTATTCATCACTCCTTCTAGAATGAACTTCTGCATAGTCTAGAATTATTTGTGTCACTGGACATAAAAATGGTCTAGGGCGAAAGCATCTCCACGGTAGATGTCTGAATATTACTGTAGAAGGGCTTTATTTTTGGTTTTGTTTTTTTTTTTTTTTATTATTCTTACTGCTAGAAGACCATTGTTTTCTTTCAGTGAAGGAATAAGATTTAAAAAGGGTGATGGTCTCTGTGAGCTGAAAACACGTTTTCCTTTTTGGCATTGTGTCAGAGGCCATTGCAGGTCTGTGCAGGTATAGGCTGCTACCTGTTTGCATGGGTTGAGAAAGGCTAGATAACTAGACGTAATCCTGCCAACATTGCTGTCTTAGCATCCAGAGAATGTTTTCTTCATTTGAGGGTTAATACAGCCTGTAAGCTCACAATGGCTATATGGTCCTTTTTCTAATATTTAATTAAATAATGGTGTAAATGAGTCATAATGGAAATAGGAGAAAATTGAACTTTTTTCCATCTTCATACAAAATTTATGTTACCACTGATCTTTAAAAGATGTCATCTTCAAATTTGTTGTGATAATTCAGAAGCAAGCATGCAATTTTAAGTAGCTTGGAATTTAATTTTATTTTGGATTTTTTTCTTTTAAAATGTTTTAGTGGGTTTATAAAGTTGTTTAAAATATATTTGACAAGCTTGAATTTTTTTCTTCTACAGAACACTCAGACCACCATTAAGCTCTTTCAAGAATGTTGTCCTCATTCTACTGACAGAGTGGTGCTTATTGGTGGAAAACCCGATAGGGTTGTTGAGTGCATCAAGATTATCTTGGATCTTATCTCTGAGGTAATATTTATTAAGTTTATTTTATTCTTTCATTGGCATTCATGAATCTTAGATATAAAACAATGTCTTGCAGTTTGTTTTGAATTCAGTACGTCCTACTTTCCCAACAGCAAAGTGATCGTCAGGAACTTTTGAAACTGTTTTTATTGTTTAAAATTGGGGTGCACCTTATGGGGGAGGAAAGCAATTTTTGGTACTAGTGGGTCGTTATTCATGTTTTGCATATCATTAAAATGAAAAAATTGAAGAGGAAGGAAGACAAAGTTTATAAGCTATGGATAAGTAGTTTCTCTGTCACACATCAGCATTTTCTTAGTAGCCTTGTAAAATCAAAACCATGTTCCAAATGCATGAATTCATACTTACATATTTGCTGTATTAATTAAGTATGCCAGTTGTAATTGTCCTAATTGATTTGGGGGGATTGTTTTGTTTGTTTGTATTAGTCTCCAATTAAAGGACGGGCCCAGCCTTATGATCCCAATTTCTATGATGAAACATATGACTACGGTGGCTTCACAATGATGTTTGATGATAGAAGGGGACGTCCAGTGGGCTTTCCGATGCGTGGAAGGGGAGGCTTTGATCGAATGCCCCCTGGTCGTGGTGGACGACCTATGCCTCCCTCGAGAAGAGATTATGATGATATGAGCCCTCGCAGAGGACCTCCACCACCTCCACCGGGTCGTGGTGGTAGAGGTGGCAGCAGAGCTCGTAATCTTCCTCTTCCTCCTCCACCACCTCCTCGTGGCGGGTGAGTCGTTGCATAAATGCATTATACAAAAACTGATGTTGTATATATTTTCCTGAATCATATTCATATTTCCGGTGTTTTTTCCATGCTTCCACGTTGTTAGTGATTATGCAGGATTGAATGTGTATTAGACAAGAGTATTTTGAAAAGTACTGCAGTTTAATTACCTACTGCACCGTAGTAAGTTGCGAGGATTGTTGCTGGTACTTCTGTAACTTCTGTCATTCAGTACTTGGTTAGCGTAGTTTGATATTAAGTTGTATGTGAACCATCAGTGTGAAAATTTAGATTAGAATAAACAAGCTGGTTCATAATACAGATAATGTAATTAACGTGCTGCTGCTTTTTTCATTTTAGAGATCTGATGTCCTATGACCGAAGGGGCAGACCAGGAGATCGTTATGATGGCATGGTATGAGTTTAAAATTGGCCTTGTTCTGTTTTGTAACCACAGCTAGCGTGCTGTCTGAAGATACTGTTGATGAACATATGCACGTCAATGTGAATATGCATGATTCTGATGGTAAAATCAAAATGTTTTGTCCATACAAATAGTCCTCCTGTGGAGGAGTATATGGGGTGTAACCGGTATTCAAGACCTATTTTCTTTTGTTTCCTTTCTGCCATCAAAAATGGTACAGAAGGTTTGACTGTGCTCAGCCCTGCAGGTTTTTTTGCACTGGCTGTCTTTCAGGTTTTTTAATCAGGATGACAGAAATAGAATTAGGAGATTTTGGAAGTAGAATTAGGAGATTTTTCAACTACAGAAAACATGTCAGAACAATGAGTTATACAAACATTCTTAACACTAAATGTTAGAAAACATGAGCATAGATACTATAATGCAGATTATAGAATGTTATCTGAGAAGAGCTGTAGTTGATCTGGAAGGTGATTGCTCTTTTGAATCAATTGTCTATTTTCTGGTAATTCCAGATGTTTTGGAGTAGGACCACTCCTGGGTTGCATCCTAAATTAATACTTGCTGAGAGAGAAAATAATCTCTCATATTATATGGAGATTCAAAGCAAGGGATTATAGGTAATCTTCTATCTTGCTTCTGAACTGTGACTTCCCAGCAGTTATCTGCTGTTCTGAGGAAGGATTCCTCTTTCCTCAGAAGAAAAACTGAGAGGTTATCCTGGTTTTAGTTGGGATAGTTACTTTCTTCTCTTAGCTGGTATGTTGCTGTGTTTCGAATTCAGTATGAGAATAATGTTGGTAATACGCTGGTGTTTTAGTTGTTCCTAAGTAGTGTTTATGCTAAGTCAAGGACTTGTTCAATCCCTCATGCTTTGCCGGTGAGTATGTACACAAAAAGCCGGGAGGGAGCATGTCCAGGACAGGTGACCTGAACTGACCAAAGAGGTCTGGCAGTGGTCATTGGGTGGTGAGCAGTTGTATTGTGTGCCACTAGGGTTTTTTTATCTTGGGGTTTGGCTCCCCTTTAGATTATTATTTACTGTTATTGTTATCTCCTACTTTGTTTCAATTAGTAAATTGTTGTTATAGTTTTGATTCACTCCCGAGTTCCTCGGTGATGAGTGTTGGGTGGGTGGTGTGAGCAAGAGGCTTTGTGGTTTTAGTTGCCAGCTAGGCTTAAACCACAACAGAGTGAATCTCTATAGTAAAAAACCTTCTCTTCTCCTTGGACTTTGTCTGACACCTTCTTTAAGATGACAGGTGACATAATATGATTTTTTTTTTCTTTTAAATGAAGCTAAGAAGTGGAAAAGAGCTACCTAAATGTGCCTTTACACATGTCCTACCTGGGAGTAAGAGTACTGGAACTAAAAATTGCAACAATGTCATGTGCTTACTAAAAATAATGAAAGATTTCCACACAGTTAGAAAAAAAAAGTGTTACCCCTGCTACATGTTAAGAAACAGGAAGAATTGGTTGGAAGAATCAGGTTTTGTGTTCTTTTGTTTGCAGCTAATAAAGCCAGTGCTAGAGTACATAAACTGAGCAGCCTGTCCATCTTCGGGCATCTGGTTAAGCACAGTCTTACTTAACTAGACTCTGGGGCAGTGGTGTGTTCTATTTTTATTCCATTCCAACTAGAATAGAAAATCCATTTTGACTTAGGTTTAGCCTGTCAGGTTAACCTTCACTTTGTTGATGTGAGTTTCTACAAGCAAGTGGAGTCATTTCAGTTAGGGGTTTTTTGTGCAAAAAAAGCACTTTTATTTCCTTTTCATAGTGAAGCTGCTCATGACTTTGACTCCTTTATGACCAAGTATCATAACCTAGTTAAAGGGAGCACTGCTTCTCAGCAAAGATTGTATTTAATTTCCAGTTTCAGTTAATCATGACTCTAGTATCCTGAACTGTGGAAGCAGAAAGGAGGTCTTCAGGTTGATCATTAAGCTGCAGCTGCAGGTGTCGTGCCAGAAATGTAAGGTTTTCCTGTGCTGCCCTTTGTTTCATATAGCAACCGTTCTCTAGCTAAAGTTTTAAACTAGAGTAAATCAATGTTGTTGTGATTTGTGATCTAAGTAATGATGGGAAAAGCTGCTCTTAGAGAGCAAAAGTGCTTTTTCACATGGATCCTATTTTACATAGATGCAATAAAAGGTAAGAATAGAGGAACATCTCAAAAGTCCTATAGCAATTGAATGTACAGAAACTTTTTTTGCCAGTTCTCTTTTCCATGAAGACAGAAAGATTGAATGGTTGATGACTCATCAAGTGGATTGTGAGTCCAGTTTAAGACTGAATGCTGAGCTGTGAGTGTTCTGGAATTTCAGAAAGATAACAGGATTGACTGTGTTTTAAAGACTGAGATGAGAAAAAACAATTTGCATTTTAAAGGATAGGTTAATTTCTCTTGCCAATGTAGAGTCACTCACTTAAGATGATATTGTCTGTTAGCCTGACTTACAGTTGTAATATAATTATGCACTGCTGTTAAAAACGTTCATTTGGCTTATAGTCTGCTCTGAAGCTTTTTCCCAAAGTACAGATTTGTACTGTTTCTCTGCGAATGGAACTATATGTTTCAGTGTGTAGCTACTCCAGATCAAATGCCTGTGGACCATAAGGGCTGTTGTCAGCTGAAAAATCCTAAATTTCCTATATTTCTTTTTTAACATATTCATTCTTTGGGATGTCTCAGATACAGAAATGCACTCAGATACCACTTGGATGGGTAGAAAATAGTGAACAAGCGTGTGAAGTCCATTTATCTCAGTTACTAAAATGTTCAAAGTACTAAAAATTTTAAAATCTGAGTTAATGTAGATTTAAATCAGAATGTCTCCTGTTAAGTGGACTGTCTCTTCACACTGTTGTGTCTTCAGACTTGTAATGTGCTTTTGCTCCTTCAAATGCTTCCTGGTTCTTGATTTTTTTTTTTTAACTTCTATATATGTATGTGTCTTGATGTATAAACACTTGAATAAAGAGACATAAGTTTTAGAAAATATGAAACAATTCCCAGGTTTAAGAGATATGACATTAACAGACATGAAAAAATTAGTAAAGGAAGAATTTATGACAACTGTACTATTTATTCATGCAGATCCTGGAAGGAAGTAATGAAATTTCACTCTTAGGTCACTCATAAAACCCAGAAAAAGTTAGGACAAAAGAATTTTACATCAGTTAGGACTGCATGCGTTTTCTTTCACTTGATGTAAAAGTGAAGCTCTTTGTGTTACCCAGCCTGTCTATCATCTGGTTTGTATTCTAGTACTAGTGACTAGCACAAATGAGTCTGCAGCAAAGAATATTTTGTTATTTATGTTAAGACACCCTGTTTCAGAAACTTGTTTTAGAGTGCACAAATGAACATCAATTGCTGAAACTGTAAAATTCTGAAAGAAAGAAATGCTAGATATCATGTTTTAGAAACATAACTAAATTTCTAATATAGTTAGTCAGCGGTAGATTCTTAGTCTGCTTGGCTGTATGAGGTATATGGAAATGAATTGGTAGAACATGAGAAACAGTGTCCTTCCTGCTTGACCTCTGTTGGCATAATCACTTGCAGTTATTTGTTTCAATCTTACTAAGCCTTCATTTTCCAACAGATGGCAGAAATAAAAGGTTTTTCTAATGCATGGCAAAGTATTTTTATATGTAATAGCACTTGAAGGTTTTTTTAAAAGGCAGAAAAAAAGGCTTGTTCAAGCTTTACCTTGCCATTAGCTCTCTGACCTTCTTTGCTAGAGAAGAAATCTGTTAATACCACAGAAAGAGGGTGAAACCATGAGTGTGGCCACTTACAGTTCCCTCAAAATAAAATTAAAAGGGAATGAGTCTTGAGAGTGGTCTAACTCAGAACATTTCAAGTCTTTGCTATGGTGTTAAGGTGTCTTTGTACTAGTATGTATTGTATTTGCTTGCCAAGTTCACTAAAACTCCGTATGACCTGGGCTTCCTTTCTTCCTCCTTTTATGTTGTGTCTGGAAGATGATGCAGTGTCATGTGGATGCTTGTGATGACATGCAGCCACCAGAGTTGGTGAGTGTGTTCAACCTATTTTCTGAAAAGTGCTTTGTCGAACAAGTTAAGTGATTAGGTGAATTTCTTAAGAGATCTTGAGTGTAGTCTGTCACAGCTTGCATCTATTAAACACTTGATAAAGCTGTTCTTTGGACTCAGAATTTATTGGCAGTCCTAATAGTGTGTCCTTTGACAAGAGGTAATGTTAATAGAAATGTGGAATTGTGCAGTAGCATGCTTTTCTGCATGCTACTCCATGCAGTACCTCTTTTTTGCCTCTTTTACACCCTTTTTTCATTTTGTAAATGGTAACTTTTCCATAACTGATGCATTGTAGATGCATACACTTAGGATTTATATTTTGTGTTAATTCATAATGTTGCTATTTTTTTTAATTTCAAACAGCAAATATTAAAAGTAGCTTATTACTTACATTTTTGGATAAACTACAGTGCTTTTTTTAATCAATGTATTTGAAAATATACCATTCGATCAGATAGGTTTTGGGGAAGAAAGTTATAGAATCGTAGAATGATTTTGCTTGGAAGGGACCTTAAAAATCATCTAGTTCCAACCTGCTTGCCGTGGACAGAGAACCTTGGTCTAGACAGGCTTGCTCAGGATTCCATCCAACATGGCCTTGAACACTTCCAAGGAGATGGGCATCCACAACTTCTCTGTGCAACCTGTTCCAATGCTTCAACGCCCTCACAAGGATTTCTTCCTAATATGTGAACTAAACCTACTATCTTTTAATTTAAAGCAATTGCCCCTTCTCTTCCCTCTACATGCCCTTTTAACAAGTCCTCTTGGGTGTTCTTGTAGGCTCCTGTCTGTTGCTAAAGGCCACAATAAGGTCGGCCTAGAGTCTTCTGTTCTTCAGGCTGAACAACCCCAACTCTCTCAGGTTTTCTTATAGGAGAGGTGCTCTAGCCCTCTGATCTTGTTGATGGTCCTCCTCTGGACTTACTTCAATAGGTCTGTGCCCTTATGTTGGGGATCCTAGAGCTGGATGCAGCACTCCAGATGGGGTCTCACCAGAGCTTGTAGAGGGCCAGAATCACGTCCTTTGCCCTGCTGGCCACACTGCTTTTGATGCAGCCCAGGATACAATTGGCTTTCTGAGCTGCAAGTGCAAATTGCCAGGTCATGTCCAGCCTCTGATCCACTAGCACCTTCAAGTCCTTCTTGGCAGGGCTGCTCTCGAGCAGTTCATATCCCAGCTTGTATTGATACCAGGAGTTGCCCAGACCCAAGTGCACCGCTCAGCTTGGTGTCATCTGCAAGCTTGATAAGGGTGCACTCCATCCCTTTTTCTGTGTCATCAATGAAGACATTTAATAGCACTGTTCACAGTTCCAACCCCCTGAAGGTCACCACTTGATGTCCATTGGAACTCTGAGCCATTGGCAATACCCTCTGGATGTAACCATCCAACCAGTTCCTTATTCACTGAACAGTCCACCCATTTGAATCCATCTCTCTCCTATTTGGAGAGAAGGATATTGTGGGGGGACCATGTCAAAGGCCTTACAGAAGTCCAGGTAGATGGCATCTGTAGCCCTTCCCTTGTTCAGTGATGTAGTGACTCCACTGTAGAAGTTATGAAGTACAGCAGGTGTTTGTGCTGTCTTGAAGATGGCAAAATGACACCAAATTAATATTTTTGATTAATTGATATGAAATGTCAGTTCTTAGCTTACATAAACACAGAATCTGCTATCAAGTTATATTGTTCTGTAGTCTGGGGAAGCAGATGTAATCAAAGAAAGCATTTTTCTTTGAAACAGATTAGTCCAAAAAGGAATCCTGTGGCAAATACCAACAGGAATATGTCTCTGTGTATGCAGTATGCTGTATGATCAGCGTCTGAATTAAACCTTAAGCAGAATCCTTCATTCTCTCATATTTTAGACTCCAGTACAAGCTCTATTATGTTGTATTCCAATCTGTATCACTTAGTAACATGACAATACAAGTTGCTTAGGGACCGAGGACAAGCTCAACACTTTGATCTGAGTAGCTTCCATTTTGATCTTAAAAGGTAGATGGTAAGTAATATTTTTGGGAAAGTTGTTACATTGTAACTTTTGTGAACAAGTAGTTGTGGTTGGTTCAACTTGACTGGCTGCCCAGCCAGTCTACCTGCTCTTTCACTCTCCTTCCTCAGCAGGGTGAGGGGAGAAAGCAAGACAGAAAGTCTGTAGCTCATGATGAACACAGAGAGATCACTTAGTAATTACTATCATGGGCAAAACAGGGTTGACTTGGGGAAGACTTACTGCCACATTGAATATCATGGTGAGAAACAAAGAGGAAAACTAAAAACACCTTTCCCCACCCTTCACTTCTTCCCAGACTCAACTTTCACTCCTTTATTCCCTGCTCTTGTACTTTCTCTGCAATGAATGGTGCAGGCGGGATAGGAAATGTTGGGTTGCAGGTTAGTTCATCACACCTGTATCTCTTCCATCCTCTTCACACTGTTCCCCTGTTCCACTGTAGGGTCCTTCCCATGGGATACAATCAATCATTCATGAATGCCTCAAATGCGTTCTCCGTTGGACTGCAGTTCTTCAAGAACTGCTCCAGTGTGGGTCCTGGTCATGGGGTACAGTCCTGCAGGAACAGACTGATTCAGTGTGGGTCCCCCAGAGATCCTGCCAGGCATCTGTGCTGGCTTGGAATCTCCACAAACTGCAGCTTCTTTCAGGGCTTATCTGCTTGGTCACAGCATAGCATCCTGCATGGAATACAGGGTAGCCATGTGCTCCAACATGGTTCTCTCGACCGGCTGCAGGATGGTGTTCATTCCAGTGCCTGGAGCACCTTTTCCCGTTCCTTCACTGTGGTGTCTGCAGGGCAGATCTACTCAGTTATTTCCTCCTTGCTCATCTCTTGCAGTCCGTGCACACTGAGGGTTTTTTTTTTACTCTTTTTTAAATGTTATTGTGTAGATGCCACCAGCTTTGCTAGCAGTTTGAGCTTTACGCAGCCGCGGCTTCCTGTCACAGAACTCGTGAGTCTCTAAAAGGTTGAATTCAAGGGAACCTTGTGTATTTATTCTTTGCCTCTGTGGGAAAATATGAATATGGAGCCTCGAGCACTTATTTCATTAGATGAAGCAAAACACTTATGTCAAATACAAGTTTACAAATCTTAAAAATAAAAAGGGGCTAGGAGTGCTTGTAGTGATTTGTATTTGGTGGTCTAAATGGAAAAGAAGTAACTCATGTCATGATTATCTGTTCAAAGATATTAAGTATTGTGGCATAGTCTGAATCAAGAGACAAATTACAGAGCTGTTCTTAAGAACTTACTGGGTTTTTTTCCCAAAGGTGTAGATGAAGTAGGAGGATTGACAGTCACTGGGTAAACTTTTTGTACCAAAACTGGAGACGTGAGTTTATCCTGAGCTATGTTAGTAGCATTAGTAAGGTTGTACTCTGATCTTGTAATTTGAAAGTTTGTTTAGTCCAAGGGTCACAAGTAGGTCAGCATCAAGAGCTGTCTATGAGAAGCTGAGTTAGTGAGACTGCCTTGGTAAACTGGCAGGTTTTGACAGGGCAGGATAAGAATCACACAATCATAGAATATCTTGTGTGGGACAGAACCCACAAGGGTCATCACGTCCAGCACCTGGCCCTGCACAGGACAGCACCATGTGCCTTAAAGCATTGTCCAAATGGACAGAGGTTAATGAGAGATCTCCCACTCACCTCTTTTTTTTTTCTGATCTGCCCTCTTTGCCTCAGGATGCCTTTGCTAGCACAACAGTTATATTTATAGTCAGGTTGAGGGTTGAGATGTTTGCATAAGATAGGCTCAAAGTTAACAATACAATATTTAGGACAAAAATGTGTTAGCTATTCACTATTTAAGGGGTTTTTTCTCTTTCTCTTACAGTTTGAGGGTGGCTCTGGTTATGGTAAGTGTTTATGTAAAACTGTTACATGTACTTCATTACATAGTTACTAAAGGCCTTGATGCATACACTTAAATCAGATTATTCTTATGCAGGGGGGCGTGGTTCATATGGAGATCTTGGTGGACCCATCATCACAACACAAGTAACGATTCCCAAAGATGTAAGTAAATTTGACTTGCTTTCAACTCATGCTTTTTCTTAAAAAAAAAAAGTCAGTTATTTCTCAGACTGTTGAAGTGAATCAGAAGTACTTAGAGTGCTTGATAAGTACTTCTAATACAAAACAAGTGTTTCCAAATCACCAAGAGTATTCTTGGATTGGTTTGTATCTTCAGAGACTCACTAAACAATTTTACTAAGAGTTAATGCTCAGTAATAGAGATGGACTGTGTAACGTGTTTTTTACAAATGAGCAGCTGGTTCTCCCAGTTTTATCCTACTTGTGTTTATACAATTAATACTGCAGGGGATGTTTTTAGGCTGTAAAGAAGTAAGCTTCCATTCGAACTCTTAAAACTGAATTTGTAGAAACTACTTAAATGCTGCTGGGATTTTCTAACTTGTTTTAGAAAAAAAGTTGTATTGGGAAATGAATTTTTTGCTTTCTTCCCTAGTTGGCAGGATCTATTATTGGAAAGGGAGGCCAGAGAATCAAACAAATACGTCATGAGTCAGGAGCTTCAATCAAAATTGATGAACCATTAGAAGGCTCAGAAGATCGGATAATAACTATCACAGGAACACAGGACCAGATACAAAATGCACAATATTTGCTGCAGAACAGGCAAGTTAACGTTTAATATTCTTTCTACTGTCAATTTTAAATTGACGTGTACATTATAAAACTGCTCTCTGAATCAATTTTTTAAGAAGGCAGGTTTTAAGTAACTATTTGAAGCTAACTTCTCCAGTGCTAGTTCTGTCTTGATTTTCTTCTGTTCTCCATTCTAATTAAAATGAAGACACCCTCAAAACTAATCTTGCTGGAAGACACCTTAACCAAGCAGTCCTCTCCTTTCTCTGGTGAAAACTGCTGCAAAAAAAGTACTTGTAACAAATTATATAGAGCCTGTAGAAAATATAGAAGATTTCAGTGGATGTTGGCCTAGTTCTGTGTGGAAGACTAGTGATTTTGTTGTTTTTAGATAACTAAATTGACAACAAATCACAGTCTGCCATATGGCACAGACCATGCCTCTACAGGACAAGTTGAAATCGATTTGGTGCTGTTATGCAGCATTTCACACCTTGCTGACATTACTTTGCCTTTTCTACCAATTATTAACAGCTTCAGATAACATTTGCTTTATTAACTTCTGGCTGTCCTAGTAGATTTTAATGTTTTAACTGGAATGTTTGGCTTTAGAGTATTAATATTTAAATGTACCATAAATATACTAATACAATTATTAGCCATTGATATTTTAGAATTATTTAATTATTCACTTTTAAATGTGTTAGGAATTTGTAATTTAATCTGCTCTAAAAATGTCATTATGAATATTGATGCAAGATGTATGGTCCATCATTCTAATACATGCTTTTTTCTTTTTCTTTTATAGTGTGAAGCAGTATGCAGATGTTGAAGGATTCTAATGCAAGATTATTTTTTCTTTTTTATAGTGTGAAGCAGTATTCTGGAAAGTTTTTCTAAGACTAGTGAAGAACTGAAGGAGTCCTGCACCCCTATTTTTTTTTTTTTTAATCTGCTTCTGTTTAAAAAGCCAACATTCCTCTGCTTCATAGGTGTTCTGCATTTGAGGTGTAGTGGAATCTTTACTGTCCACCAGATGTAATGTTTTAGTTCCTTACAAATACATGGGGGGAGGGAGCACGAGACTAACACTGAAATTTTGAAGCAGCAGAGAGATTGAATTCTATTTTTGTTCATCGTTGGTGGTAAATTGTAATGTTTTTCTGTAATTGTTGTGTACACCCTGCTTTTATGTACACTGTGTCTTATTTTAAAGGGGGATGAATTCTGGTAGGCCACATGTCCCTGGTATCTGTTGAGAGCACTGTGCAGAATGTAATGCTTTTTTGTAAGAAACATTTTAGGATTTTTAAATAAATTTAGTGAACCTATTCTTGGTGGTCATTTTTCTTCAGGTCTACATAAGATAATAACTAAAATGAATACACCTAGTTTGGTTGGGTTTTTTTCCCCATATGAATTAAAGTTACTGTTAAGCTTGCTCTTCAGCTTCCTTGATATAGATGGAGTTATGTGGGTTTTTTTGACAAATTAAAGAAATTGTGTGAAAACAATGACTGCTTTGCTGTTTGGGGGGAAAAAAAGTTAAAATATTCACACAAATGTGTAAAACTTGACATTTTTGCAAGTGTTTGGCCCTCTGCAGTACATATATATATTGGTGACAGTATATAAATAAAATATTTAAAAACTTTGTGATATCACTGAGTAAACAGTGGTAAAGTACACCTGGTTATAGACAGCTTGCTTAATGCAGATAACACTGTTAGAAATGACAGTTGCTCTACCATTTCTGAATAAATTATAGCTGTTTCCTGAGCTTTTTTTTGTATGAGGTAGAAATTGCAAATTGGCAAATTGACAGTATCTAACTCTGTAACTTGTAATTGTATGCAAAACTTAAACTTGTTTGGTTTCCCAGATGTATGTTGAATTCCATAAGAATTATTTGTGAGAAATTTTAAAAAAACATATAAAGCCTCTAGATATCTCATGTAATACCTTGGCATTTGTATTTATAGTTAAAAGTTTTAATTTCACTTCCTGAATAAAAACAAATTAAAAAATGTAGAAGTGTGTTGCACATATGGATATGATGGGTCCAGACTAAGCCTGGGTTCTTTTGTTGTGTTATTTTGGTGGTTGGGAATTTTTTTTCCGCCCATGGTTTGTTGGAGCATTGGTTAAGCTTGGCCTTCTTAGAGCAGCTACTCATTAAATGGAATGGTAAAGGCAAGGAGCTAAGACATTGCGTGCAAGGCTGGCCTACTTGGCAGAGCTGTAACAAACCTGTAGAAAGTAAACAGTGCCATCAGCCTTGTGTGTTGTCAGAAGAAAGGCAGCTGGCACCTGGCTGGTTAACCAACGAACCTTAATTAAGAGGGAGAAGTCTACAATCGAGGCAAAGATTTTGGGCGAAATGCGAGTGAACTGGAAGTTGCCGAATTTTGTGTGCCTCCAATTTGCATATGTGCGGACGAGTGGGGTTGTGAGTGGTCGTTAGTTTGGTGCTGTCCTGTTTTAATTCGGGAGGAAAGCTCAGCAAGTATCCACACGCAAATTTTTGTTCGAAGCAGAGCCTGTATCCTGCTGCAGCCTGGCAGGGTTGCGGGGGCCGATCCTGAGGCTCCCCAGGTGCCGGCCCCGGCGCTCCTGCAACTCCGGGCTGTGTGCGCGCCCCGCCGCGGCGGGAGCCGCCCGGGCCCGCCCCGTCCGCGCCTGCGCACGGCCGTGGCCTCGCGGGGTGGGGAGTGGAGCGGGGCCGGGATCTGGGAAAGCCCGAGCAGCTTCGGCGGGGCTGGGTTGGGCGGCGTGTGCGTGTCCTGCCCAGCATGGAGGGTTTCCCGTCCCCTCTGGAATCTGCCAAGTTCATCGCCGACCACAGCAAAGATGTCTCCGTGGACGAGGAGGGGGCGCGGCGGGTGGCGGAGAGCCTGTTTGACAAAGCCTCGGCCGTGGAGTTCGGGGTGGCGGGGTGGAAGAGTCTCCACGAGCTGAACCCCCGCGCCGCCGACAAGGAGGCAGTGGACTGGGTGTTCCTGGTGGACACTCTCAACTTCTCCTTCTGGTCCGAGCAAGAAGAGCAGAAGTACCTGGTGAAGTACAAGGATAAAACCTACAGCGGCTACTGGTCCCTTTGCGCCGCCGTCAACAGGGCCCTGGACGAGGGTCAGTGAGTGCCGGGGGAGCGGGGCCGGGCCGGGGGCACCGGGGCGAGGGCGATAGAAGCCGAGCGTCGAGGGTAAAACTAAGGAGGCGCCTCGGAAGCGGGACCCGCTGTTGTGAAGTGCTGCTCGCTGTTTCGATAGCGCTGTATGTGCGGGCTGTCCCGTAGAGCTCCGGGGAGGTAACTGGAAACGCTTCTAAAACATCCTCTTAGTGAAGCTCCCTAACTCGTGGCTCTGGGTTATCGCTTCCATTCGAGAGACTTCTAAGGATTGGCAGTAGTCAGCTGTGGGTGACTTCACGTATGTTCTTAGGATAAATTGTATGTTTCCATGACAAATAAAAAAATGAGGCATAAACTGAGAATCGTCTGGACTAATCTGATACCAGAGCAGCTCCAGTAAGTCTGAAAACTCATATGCCTCTAAAACCAACATTTTAAAGTTTTGTAGTTTAGCACTTTAGCACTCACTCTAGTTGCTGTCCTCAGAAAAGAAAAAAAAAATCTGTTTGTAGGTATAAATGAAAGTTTTAATTAATTTTCTGCATGGTTGGTTGTAAATTGAGGGGGCATTAGCATTAAGACACTTTTTGTAAATGCACAACGCGATTAGGATCCAGGGGAAAACAGGCCTATGCTAACTGCTCTAGCTATGTTACTGACTATATTTGCCAGCGTGCTATGTAAACACCCTACTCAAAATACAAAGACTAAGCAGCTGAGAAAAATTATGTACAAAAAATAAGAAAGGGTCCATGGTTGCCTGCTGGAAATGGTTCTCTATAGAAGCAAGCATTGTGGCACTCACAAATTTTGTTTTGAGCAGCTCTGTGAGTGCGATTATCACTGAAAACTAAGGTGATCGTAACAGTTGATAAGACTTTTTAGATCTTCCTGTACAAGTGCTTTCATCTGTAGCAGACAACTGTGCTAGGTCCCAGGATATGTTACGACAGTCTAAACATCTCATTTTAACTTTTCTGAAGGAATACCTATCACCAGTGCATCATATTTTGCCACCATGACGCTTGAACAACTGAGGCATGTATTTCGCTCTGACACAGAAGTGCCTATACCTTTGATTGAAGAAAGACATCGGGTGCTGAACGAAAGTGGAATAGTTCTGTTAGAGAAGTTTGGAGGATCTTTCCTTACCTGTGTTAAAATGAGTGAGAAGAGTGCTCAGAAACTACTACATCTCGTACTGGAAAATTTTCCTTCTTACAGAGATGAAGCTGTATTTGAGGTAAGCTAGTTCTAAAGCTCTGAAAACAAAATCATGCAATGTAGTAACAGTAAAAGAGTCTTGGATAGTGTGCAACTAGACAGGACAGGAGTCACTTTTTTTCCCACCAGAGGACTGCCTTTTTTTTTCATATGCTCTCTGTCTTCATTACTTTGTTGTAATTTATTTTTATATACTCCAGGTTCCCAGTTTGATCACGCCTCCTGTGTACTCCTTAGAAGTGGATGGTATTTGAGATAATTCCTGCCTGAAAAATCAGAATATTTTTTTCCTTTCTTTTCCTTCCCTTGAATTGCAGCCAACCCTCCTCCCCCCATCTTCTTTCTTCTTTTACCTTGAAGTTTTCCACAGCTAATGAAGAAAATTAAACTGGTAGAATTAATGTGCAGCTATTGGGACTCCACCCTCTAACTGTTGTTGATTCAACAGGCTTTACACAAATGACTACAGATTAGAAGTAACTCATACTTTTATCCATGTTGACAGTACACTGAAGATTTTTGGAGCTGTTTTCCTGAAAGAAAATGATGGGAAGTAAACAGAGTCTATCTGGTATTTTCTGTCTCCCAGTTTCTCTTATACAGATCTGCGTTTAGCATCTGTGACATATGTAGCTGCTCCTTTGCTCAGCTGCATGTGCAATTGTATTCAGCTGTTATATTATTAAGTCCAAAAGACTTTATTTTAGTAACAGTGCAGCCTATACTAATAGTCCGTGCAGTCGTTTTAAAGGAGCTCCTTGGAATACCAGTCACTGGAGCTTGGAACTTGTTGCATTTACTATCCTTTAGCAGGTGGCATGATTTTATTTTCCTTTGTCTCCTGCTATGAAGTAAGATATGCTTACATGAAAAATCAGAGGTTCTTTCTATTTAATCTTTGAAGCTATTGGTTTAGTTAATTTGGGGGGTTTTTTTACATATAAAGTAATATTTTAACAATTTTTATGATCAGAAAGGAAATATTTTACACGTAAAGTGACAGAGTATTTTCTTATCTTTATAGTGACTGTATTCATTGACGTTATGTCTTTCGTGAGATGATGACGAATGCTTTATAAAGCAAGCCTCCCTAAAAGCAGCAGCAGACTACAGAATGAAAAGGTGTTCCAAAAATGACCCTAGATCGTAAGCACTGACATAGTAATAAAGCCAGTTGCATGAATATGGAAGCTATTCTTCTGCTTTCAGTAAGCAAGATCTGTATTTTGAAGGTGGTGACATGGGTCACATTTTCAACGTCATTTCTATGGCAGCAGGTTGAGGTCTCACAAGTAAGACTTTGTGTTCAGTAAAGGGTTGGAGGGAACTGGAAAGATGGTGAGATATCCAAGAGCAAACCAGTGCTTTTCAGTAACTCTACATAGTAGAAGTATACATAATTATAAAATAAATGATACATTAGAATCATACTGTCACAGACTGCTACGACTGTCCTAAGTTCTAACCTTCTAGGGAAACTTCTAAAATAAACACAATTATTTTTTTCCAAACACATACCCAAAATATTTTTCAAAATTATGTGTCTAATTATAGAAATTGCCCATGTTTGTTTCTTCTGAAAAAGAAAATGCAAACCAAAACCTAAATCTCCAAAACATTTTTTTCTCTTTGGGTGGATAGTTCATATTTAGATGGTGTGCTGCATTTGATTCCCAACAGAAGTTTAAATTTTAGACTACTTTATACTCACATTATCAGGAGTTTTGTGTTCTGACAAAGACATAGTGGAGTCTTTTTTGATCTTCCAGTCATTGACATTTCATGTATTTATCTTTTATTTGCCATCACCTGGCACCGGGCTTGTAAAATTCTCATGATCTTCACGTTCTTTGCTGTTTTTCTTTACTAGCTGCACTATCACATTTTGCTCTTTGCCAACACAGTACTCCTCCTTTCCTTTAATATCAGTAGGCCATAATAGATGTATCCCTTGATACTAGCGCATTGTATTGGAGA